AATCCTAAGATGTATGATTACTCTTAGATTTGGACATGAGAATAATTACTTGCAGTAGTAGAGAAATGAAAAAAAAAAAAAGATTCCATAGGGTGATTGGCAAGTCCCCCCACCCCTTATTTAAAAAAAAAAAAAATAATAAATCATTCAGTTCTAGCATAAAAAGAAAAAGACTTCCTGTTTTTCTTTATTGATGTTTCTCTTGTTTCATAATTATTTTCTTAATACTTATACAAGTCTACATATTGAAATGTGTTGCATATTAATTCTTAGTAATGTGACTCTTAAGTATATTTGTCTATATAGGATGCTGCTGATTAGTTCTCTGCCATGTTGAAAGAGTCTATAAAGCTTTAGATGAGAACAACAAAGCTCAGGCTCTGGCTTTAAATATCTCTGAGACATTTCACAGAGCTTGGCATGTTGACCTCCTTCACAAACTGAAGGGCTATGGTATCTCTGACTAATCTTTGATTTGATGCAATCTTTGTTAAATTGTGTCATGAAAGTCATGTTCAACGACCACTCTTTGAGATCTTTTCAAATTAACCTTTACCACACTGCAGATGAAAATAGTTGCTGTAGAATTCTCACCCTTGCTACTATTGATGCATTCTATCGTCTTGAGATGGTTCTATAAATAGACACTTGTCAACTGTTATTTCTGATATTTTAAGCTGGAAATCACCTACTACTGCTTTGGAACAAGGTTAAACTTCTGTTTTTCAATGCCATTTTGAATTCTTCTAGACTCTACATGAGGTGTAACACTGATTAAACCCACATTAATTTTTTTTATTTTTTATTTTTATTTTTTTTTTTCCTCTCCAAACAAAAATGGCCACATCAATAATCAACAAAGCCTTTATTCAGGAGTTTTTCTTTGATTAGGACTCCATTTATGATTTTTGATTATGAAGGTTTTACTCAAGTAAATATTGATGGTGAAGTGGTCGATGATGATAACCACTGTAGTGACATGGGTGAAAGCAATGATGACCACTAACGGCTACTATCATCCATTTTTAATTAATTTTATGTAAGCTACTGGTGACCATCGATATATCTGATAGCCTTTCTGAATTAGAATTATTTTATTTATTTATAAATGATGAAATAATAACTTTCTTTGTCAATGAGACAAATAAATATGTCGGGTGAAAGAAAGATCAATCAAATGCTAGTATCTTCTTATATGTAAACATGAGGAAACGCGTTACTTTCTTGACGAAATGAAAGCCGTCTTAGCGATTTTGCTAAAAAAAAAAAAAAAAAAAAAGTCCAAAAACTCCATAAGGAGTAGTGAAAGTACATTGAATCATTTATGTATTTTTTGTTTTTTTATTTCGCGTTTGTTTTTGTTTTTTGTTTTCAACATTAAAACATGCAGGCAAAACATAATTACATTACACCAAATATTACTCATCCATTCTTTTATTAGTGTACAAAAATTAAAATTTATACACACAATACAAAGAAAGTTGTAACAATTTTAAAACACTACATGTTCATGTTAAAGAAATTAGCATGGTAAAGGTTAATGTGGAGATCACATAGTTCTCTGTCCTTGAATCTACACTGATTCTTATTTTCATCAACGTCCTTCCCATCAGTTACCAACTCAGCATTTATACTGATGACGTAACTATTTATTACTGTCTTAATAGTAAGTGTAATAGGTCTGATAAAGTAAAACTTGTAGCTAATCTAATGTTACGTCCAATTAATTAACTGAAGCAAGAAATGGCTTGTAAATTTTAATGCCTCCAAAATGAAACTATTATCTTTTACACTATTTACATTGTTAAGACTGTTGTCCTCTTCTTTATTGCAATATTCACAACATTTTGACTATTGTATGCTCTGGCCTTCTTTAGACAATATTTGTTGGAAATATCACTTGAAGAAGGCTTCAGCGTATAAGGGTGAAACTGTTGTCAATAAAGAAAAGGATAACAGTCTAAACGGTGTAAATAGTTACAATACATCATCTCAGAAATAGACAGATATTATCTTTTTGTCATCATTTCAGAACTCTTTTTTTGCCTCCACAAGAGTAACACATCATGCCTTTTTGGCCTCACATTTTCTTTCACTGACATGAAGTAAAATGATTAAATTGAATCAATTGTTAGGTTGGATGCTAGAAAAGTTGATTCACTTTGTCATGCCAGACCATTTTTCTTGTCAGTACCAATCTTGCATGTTTATAAATCTACCATTTGTCTCTGCATTGAATATAGCCATCATATCTAGTTTGGTGCTCCTGCTATATATCTCTAGGTTAAAGTTTAAAAAGTTAACAAAATCCAAAGAAGGGTGTGTAATATTATTGATCCTGACCTGGCATCTTGATTTCAGTCACTTCCCCACTGGTGTGACATGATTTCTCTCTGTCTTTTCTATAAATATTTTCATGACAATTATTCTAATGAGCTTTCCTCCTTGCTACCATGGTAACATGAATTTAAATGTACCACTAGATTGGTAACTAGGTGTCATCCTTTTACTGGTGAAATAGCTAGATATAACTTGTTATATTCCGTGCTAATAGGAATATATACTTGAAAAATCAAGGTGGATAACATAATTTATTTTTTATTGTAAAAAACCAGTACAATGAGAATAAAGGTAACAGTTATGCATAAGGTTGTCGCAAGTCAATCCAGTAATGAGGCTGGCAGTTCTCACATAAGTCTGAGTCATACTCAACAGATCCCAGGTAGTCTCTGTAGTTCATTGACTTACAGATACTTATAGGTAGTTACTACCTATAGTGTAGTCACTCATGGGGGTGACAGGTTATTCCATTACATCATAACCATAATTTCTATTCTAATAGTTTCTTTTCTTGTCTATAGAACTTGCTTCCATGCCAGTCAAGATTTTTTAAAAAGTTAAACGCGATATGAATCGCCATCTTCTGTCATAGCCTCTCCCCACCCAATCCTCTTCTTAAATTTTGGTTTCTATTCATTAAAGTTTCTCTTTTTTTTTTTTTTTTTTTTTTTTTTTCAACTCTCATTAAGCCCTTGAGTCTTAGTGGCATTATCACCATGCTTGGAGTGAAATAATTAAAAAAAAAAAAAAAAATTTTCAACATCCATGTACATTAATATGGACCTAAACCACTGAAAGAATTTTGTAAAGATTCTATTAATGATTAGATTATGAAAAGTATTTTCTATATATTTAAGTTTTATGTGTATAGACGTTAAAAATATGAAATAAATTCTAATTAAATTTAAATTTTAAAATAGTAAGTTTATATGTTTATTCCCTTTCTCTTTCAAGGCCTAATTGATATTTGTGATAAACATATATTCTAAATTTAAGAATATTTTTTGACATTTTTAAAAAAAATTTCTCATTGCTAAAAATTAGAAAATTATCAAAGATGGTACTTTAGAAATGTTAGAAATTTGACTTTGACTTCAACCAGTTTCAAGTCTCCCTTGAAAATTTTTGTAAAAACACAGTTTCCAAAGTAACAGCAAAATAAAATAAAGCAAAAATACTACATTTGGTTTGCACATACTGTTCAAATTCTTCATTTTTGGGTACATTTTGCATAAAAAATAATAGAGAATAGGAATAATAGAGAATGGGAGAATAATAGAAATAGGAGAATAATAAGAATAGGGAGAATAATAGAGAATTTGGAGAATAATAGAATAGTAATGAGAATAATAGAAATAGGAGAAACATAGAGAATAATTTTGAATGGGAGAATAATAGAGAATTGAATAATAAGAATAGGAGAATAATAAATAGAGAATAATGAGAATAATAGAGAATAATAGAGAATAGGAGAATAATAGAGAATAAGAGAATAATAGAGAATAAGAGAATAATAGAATAATAGAGAATAATAGAGAATAGGAGAATAATAGAGAATAGGAGAATAATAGAGAATAGGAGAATAATAGAGAATAATAGAGAATAGGAGAATAATAGAAAATAATAATAGAGAATAAGAATAATAGAGAAATAATAGGAATGGGAGAATAATAATAATAAATAATGAGAATAGGAGAATAATAGAGAATTAAAAAATTGTAGAGAATAATAGAGAATAGAGAATAATAGATCTAAAAGAATAATAGAATAGGAGAATAAATATACAATTGTTGTAATAATTTTAGAGGAATAAATGCACAAAAATAATGTATTTAAAAGGAAAAACCAATATACTAAAAGATATTTTACAGTCTGTTAATTTTATATCAGGCACGTGCATCACATCCAAATGTGTGCAATATGTTAATAGGTTTTGATAAAAGCAGTATATAATCTTGCTGGAGGGGCTCAATTAAGAATAACTTCAGGTTGGGTAACCTAGTCTCTGCACAGATGTCTCCATTTGTTTCTAAATATTTACATGTGACTCTGAAGTCACCTTGGTTGCTTCATATTTCAAACCTCTTGAAAACTATCTCCCTGAATACTCCTACTCATGAATAAAGATGTGTTAGCCATTTTGAAACACACCCAATTAGTTAAGGTCAGGAAAATGACAAACTATAGTACTGAATAGAATATTTATTGTAACCCATCTTAATTTAACAAAACATGTACAGGTTAATATCTCCATCAATTAAGATCAGAAGTCATGAGTCATGCTTGTTGTAGCATCAGAGTATTATCATCATCGTCATTGAGATCGTGTCTAGCACTTGAGGAAAATTTTCTTACAATTTTTCCCAAGTTTTAACAAATTTGTATCTAAGCTGCTTAGCTTTTTTTTTCACTTGTATAAATTGGTTGACTAAATTGACTCTTTCTTGTTCTTTCAGATTTTGTTCTCCCCGTTAATGTTAGAAAAGGGTACCGCTTTAATTCACCTCCATTTTTAACTACTTGAATTACCTCGTCCAAGGTTGAAGTAAACCTTCTGAATATAAATAAAGGTGACAAAACGATTCAATTAAAAAGAATAAATTGCAATGCACACCGCAAAAACATCTTAGGCTTTTACATCGGTAGATGCTTGCCTGAGCATGTTTTACAAGGCATGTGTCACCGAAAGGTGGTGAGAGCGAAAAAGCTTTGCTAATTTAATTGAAAGCTTGGTCAAGAAGCTCAAGGAAAAAAGAGATGAACTAGATAGTCTGATAACTGCCATTACAACAAATGGGGCACATCCCACCAAATGTGTAACAATTCAGCGGACACTGGATGGGCGGCTACAGGTGAGTAAATTTTTTTTTTTTTTTTTTTTTTTTTAAAGAAGTACTTCCACACAACTATCATTTTCATTGCTACTTATGGTTCTCCTCTCATTGATCTCCCAAAGCTCCTCCATGCTTCTACTGCTAGCATATCTTTCTCTGGAACTATCCTTCCTCCTGGCTTCATCTTTGTGCATTACCACTGTTCATGTCTTGCCCTTTCCCCCTCTCCACCCAAATTGTCTTGCCCCCTTTCTCCCCCTGTCCACTCTTTTTATTTTGTCCCCTTTCTCACCCTGTCCACTTTTTTTGCTTTCACACTTTTCACCTCCATCTCCCTTTCTTGCTCTGTTTATCCCCACTTCCGGTTGTCTTCTCCCTCTTCCCACCTCCACTCTTTCTTTCTTTTTTTTTCGTTGTCCACCTCACCTTTCTACTCCTCACCTCTCCTGTTCACCCATGTGATTTTCACTTTTCCTCCCCTCCTCTTCTATGTGTGTTACTTTCTTCCCTCACCTTCTGTGTCTCCCTCTATCAGCTGAGTTGTATTCAGTATTTTATGTATTGTGTACTTAGATTAAGTAGTCGATCCCTTTGGATATGACCGTCTCTGCTCTTCCTGATTTGTTCATGTAGCCATCAAGTAAAGCATAGAACTCGTCAAATATGTGTGTAAATTGTTTAAATATCATCTACTTAGAGAAATGCATTTTCCAGGCCGACAATAAATTCATGATTTCTAGAAACTGAATATGAACTTCTCTTTTCAGGCTCATTTAAAATGCATTTGTAATGTTTTTCACACTGTATATGCAAAACTATATATATTCAAGATTTTGTCTTTTCCAGATTGATGGCCTAGGGGTTAGAATATCTGACTTATACCAAATCGGTTGGGTTTCTGTCCCGGCCTGAAGCAATTGGATGTCTAGCCACACTGATGAGCTGTGACTATATATGTATGGCATTGTTCACAAATCTAATAATCAAACAAAAACAGGGATGAAGGTTAGTATACACACACACACATTGTTTTTTTTCTCAAACAGAAATAATAAAATAAAAGATTCTAAACAAAGGAAAAAGCTATTAGAGAATTAAGCAGTAATACAAAACAAATACAACTTACCAACAGTTTCTATATAAATCAATTTTCTTTTGACCTTTGCCTTTTTTTTTTTTTTTTTTTTTTTAAATATTGTACAATATTTTTTAAACTTTCTTTTTGATGTAAAATATATTCACAACAATTTTGCAGCAAAGTGAATTTTTTTTCAGTGTGTTATTCAAAACTAGAAACATTTTGGATAATAAGTTTCCAAAATTCTTTCAGCAGATTCTTGTAGTGGATTCATTATGTTTTACAATAAATTTATCTGCATATTCAAGTATAGCAAAACAAGCACAAATGAACTCTGCCATTTGGCTAGATGGAACCGTAGGGCCTCCTCAAGAAAGTAAGTCAAAGTATTGCTTCTCTGTAGTATCATCATTATCATTGCCTACCATGATCAGGGAACATATTTCACATTGAAAACATTTATTTTTTTTTGAATTTTCTCTAATAAAGAAAAAGATGATAATGGAAATTTTTCCAGAAGTAATTTGTAGACTTGAAACATATAGTGCAATAGTAAGGCATAATGTATTACTTCTGCAGAAAATGAAGAACAACCTCTTCGTTGGTAACGTTGTATGGTTATTCTTCTACCATGTTTTGTATGTAGTTTGGAAAATTTTCTAACAGGCTAAATCTTGTGAGTTTAGTATTATGTCTATATATAAACCACTATGGTAATGGTATAGGGGGTCCATTGTACTGGATCTGGATGTAATGGTTTTGGTCAATGTGAATACATTCTTTTATAGATGAAAAATGTGTTTCAGGGTCAAAGACTATTTTATGAATTAGAATATAATCTTCCCTTTCTTAAAATTCAAAACTGTTAGGGCAACACTTTGCTTCTTCTAATTGAGTAAAAATTTTTTTTATGGATTAGTTTAAAAAAAAAAGAAAGGGGTAAATATACATTTTAATGTTTAAAACATGTCTAAGGAATTTAAATAATGTTTGATAAATTCTACGTAATTGTACATTGTTAATTTACGTTGAAAGAATTCAATTTTTAAAGTTACCTCCCTTTTAGATTAGCAAATTTCTAATTGGCCATTCACTTGGCTTTGTTTTGTTTACATTGGCCTGTTAGAATTCAGATTATTTGACATGTGCAGTCGTATATTGCTAGTTGGCCATAAACCTTTTTTTTATTTTAATTCTCAAAGAATTCAGTGTATTGCATTTATGTCTTTTCATCCTTGCCTGTCTTTCACGCTTTCACTCATTGTCTCTTGATATCAAGGCACTCTCTCTCTCTTTTGTCATCTCCATTTCTACTCTTTTACACACACACACACACACACACACACACACACACACACACACACACACACAAAGCAATTTTCTCTTGCTTACTTACCTTTTACTGTTCCTTCTTTGCCTCTTTCTCCATTTACTTTTACTAATTTCTTCCTAGTGAATACATGTCTTTCTTTAGAAGGGATGGAGATATGTAAGATACTACCCTCTGATCTTAAAGAGTAAAACATAATAGTTGTGTATATAAACAGAATCAATTTGAGTAATGTCCATTAAAAAGTAGTGCTATGATTTTCTCCCTTTCTCTCTCTAATATATATAAACTAAAATATATATCTGTAAAACAACAACATGAATAAAGACAAAAGGTAAACTTGTCTTAACGTATACATTTCCTCCTCTAATAAACTTTATCAAGGCAAAGATAAGGATTTTATTTTGCAGCGTATATCAGGTTAACTGAAAAGTCTAGGTAAATTATGGAGGATGCTAAGTGACATAATTTAATTTTCTAAATAAATAAATGGTAAATTCTGTCTGTCTGCCCATGTCATTTTAACTCTGGCTAAACTTGCTTTACATAGACATACAGTTTTTGGAATATGGATGATCCTGGGATTGAAAATATGTCTTTCATCTGGTACGTGAACATCCAGCATTGGGATTTGTACCCAGATGAGGTCTCGTGATGTGAGATTTTGAAGTTCCACAAAGTTTGAGATTTGAAGAACTCAATTTTTGGCCTGAATTGGAATTTTGTCCACAATTGGACTTATATGTCGAATCAGAGTTAAAGTAAGGTTTTGAAGTTTTATGGCGTGAATTGAAGAATTTCTTCAAAATGCCATAGAATAATCCAAAGACCAGAGCTCTAAGGCAGAGGAAGAGAAGAGCAGAAGAAACACAAGAAGAGGCATGAGCTAGGAGACAAGAAGATTCTGGAAACCATAGAAGATCAAGAGCATCTGAAATATCAGAAGAGGTACAAGCCAGGAGAGAAGCAAATGCTGCAAGACAGATAAGATCAAGAGCATCTGAAACATTAGAGGAGTTGCAAGCAAGGAGAGAAGCAGATACAGCAAGAAAGAGAAGATCAAGAACTGCAAAGGATGACAGTGAGAGTTTATCAAGGAGAGAAACAGATGCTGCAAATCATCAAAGTGCAAGATGTTTGGAAACACCTGATGAAAGACATGCCAGACAGGTTAGTGATAATCAAAATCATGTTAAAGGAGTGTAGCTTCTTTTTTGAGCCTGTCCAAAGCTGTTTTTTTAATACAACTGTGACAGTGACTATTCATATCATCCAAAGATATCTATTGGATCAATGATCATTCAGTGTAAGCATTGTAATACTCTCAGATTCAAGGATGAACCAAATAGGATTTGTTAAAACAAAGGAAAAATACAGCTGGAAGGTCTACCAGTTCCTCAAGAGCCATTGCTATGACATCTGGATGGGAACTCAGCTGAATCAAAGCACTCCATCAAGTACATCAGAAGTTACAATAACTGTTTTGCAATTTGGAGCCAAAGATGCTAACTTGCCAGGATGGAAATCAACTTGCAAAATTCAGAGCAGGAGCTAGCTTAAAAGTCTTCATGGAGTGCAGCTTTTAAGCTAGTGTCTAATAAAAGAAAGTAAGTGATGAATGTTTAATTTTTTTTTTTTTTTTTTTTTAATTTGCCTTGTTAAAGTCTATCAGAGGATTAAAAATCATCAGTTTTCTTTTTGTCTTTATTTACACACACACACACACACTCCCTACCGGTTGAATTTTTTCTGAAGTATTTATACCCTTTTGCTTTCAGGTCGCTGGACGAAAAGGTTTTCCGCATGTTATTTACGCAAGAATTTGGCGATGGCCAGATTTACATAAAAACGAGCTTAAACATGCAAAATTCTGTCAGTATGCTTTTGATATAAAAGCAGATAGCGTATGTGTCAATCCATATCATTACGAGCGGGTAGTTTCCCCTGGAATAGGTAAGTCACTTGTTTTATTATTCATCAGAACTACACTTGCTTCAAAGATTGTGTCCAACAAATGAAAATGAGTTAGATTCTTTTCAATGCAATTCAGTGATTAGCTGAATTTGCATTGCTCACTATCTTAGTATTTGATTTTGTCTTTCTCATCTTCCTCTGCTGCTGCTTCTCTTCTCCTCCTCCCTCTCTTCCTCCTTTTCTCTTCTTCCTCCTCCCCTTTTCTCTTCTTCCTCCTCCCCTTTTCTCTTCCTTAAAAGCCCTTTTCTCCTCTTCCTCTCCCTTTTCTCTTCCTCCTCCTCCTTTTCTTCCCCTTCCTCCTCTCCCCTTTTCCATTCTTCCTCCTCTTCCCTCTTTTCTTCCTCCTCCTCCCTCTCCTCTTCCTCCTCCTCCTTCTTCTCTTCCTCCTCCTCCCTCTTCCTCTTCCTCTTCCTCCTCTCCTCCTCTTCCTCCTCCTCCCTCTTCCTCCTCCTCCCTCTTCCTCCTCCCCCCTCTTCCTCCTCCTCCCTAATCCTCCTCCCTCTTCCTTTCTTCTTCTTCCTCCTTCTCCCCTCCTTTTTCTCCTTTTTCCTTTTTCTTTTTCTTCTTCTTCCTTCTTCTTCTTCCTTCTTTTTCTTTCTTCTTCCTTTTTCCTCTTCTTCCTCTTCTTCTTCCTTTTTCCTCTTCTTCTTCCTTTTTCCTCTTCTTCCTCTTCTTCTTCCTTTTTCTTCTTCTTCCTTTTTTCTTTTTCCTCTTCTTAGCTAGCTACATCTGAAATTTGGGAAGATAGTGAAACTTGTCAAATTTCTAAAGAGTTTCTTATTTTAACATTAATAATAAAAATATTTTATAGATTACTTCATTGGCACTTAATGTGCTTATGTCAACGTTGTCCATTTTCAAAATAATCTGCCTTGTCAAATTCTCATTTATCTTACCCACACTCTGAAATTTCTTTTGGTTTATTTGTGATTCCCAGATGCCACTCTGGTTTGAATTTAGACAACCACCCGTGGATGAATGTGATGCTTGCAGCTTGAACTTGCATGATGCTGTGCAGATTTGCTTGCTTGATCATTCTAAATTCAACCATCACATAGTATAGAAAGCCCACTCAGTAGCTTCTAACTGCTGAGTAACCACCCCACGGGAGAGTATCTGCTCATGCATGCACAGTAAGGTCCTCTCTGACAGATTGCCAAGTTACATCAAGGTTGTTCAACTGGTTCTGGAGATTTTCAAAATGTCTGGATAATTCTGGACAGGCCTCATAAAACATTATTTAATACTGAAGAGACTTAGGCGATTTTTTTTTTTTTTTTTTTTTTTAATGCTTTCTTTTTGTGTGTATTTGGCATAAACTGGGAGGTCTTCATTACCACTTGGTTTATGACTTAATTACGAAACATAATTTATGGCTTAATTTTTTTTTTTTTTTTTTTTTTTTTTTTTTTTATAAAACCTTTTATGTAAGGTGAGCCATAGTATCTTGTTAACTGTGTAAATCTGCAGTGGAGGTGAAAGGAAAGGTGCTTGATGTTATCTGAGCTCCTAAAACATGATTTATATTTTCATTATTAAATTGTAATATAGTATCATTAATGGTACTATATTAGTATAAATATATTATTTTCAAACTTAAATTTATATTTCATTGAAGAAAATAATGGTTACTTTGGGGGGTGGGGAGTCAAGTTTTGAACTTTTTTTTTATAAACGTAGTCTCATGCAATGTTGGTTTATCTGTTAATCTACATACGAGTTTTTATTAAACCTAGCCTAGTACAGAACCACTTTTTCATGGGTCACCCAGTGAAGATTAAATTCATTATTGTTGGTTATCACTTACACTACACGTCTTTCACAGTGAAATGTTGAATTAACTGAAATAGTTTTATTTATAAACACAAAACAAAGAAAGATAGTGGTGTTTTTCCTTCTTTTTGGTTTTTCCTCATACTTATGTTGCATTTTTCCCCATTTTTAATATTGCTTTTCCCCCTCTTGCTCCCCTTCGCATTCTCCTCTTTTTTTTTCCCCTGTTCGATTCTCCTCTTGCTTTTTTCCCCCTTCGCATTCTCCTTAACCCTTTTTCCCCCTTCGCATTCTCCTCTTGCTTTTCCCCCCTTCGATTCTCCTCTTTAAAATTTCCCCCCTTCTTTCTCCTCTTGTTTTTCCCCCTTCGCATTCCCCCTTGGCTTTTTCCCCTTCGTGATTCTCCTGCCTTTTCTGTCCCTTCGCATTCTCCTCTTGCTTTTTTCCCCTTCGCATTCTCCTCTTAAGACTTCCCCTACATTCTCCTCTTGCTTTTTTTCCCTCTTGCTTTTTAAGTTTCCTCTTGCTTTTCCCCCTTCTCCTCTTTTTTTTTCCCCTTCTCCTCTTTTGTTTTTCCCCCCCTTTCTCCTCTTGCTTTTTCCCCCCTTTCTCCTCTTGCTTTTTTTTCCTTCTCCTTTTTTTCCCCCTTCTTGGTTCCAACCCCTTTTTTCCCCTTCTTTGTTTCCCCTGCTTCCCCCACATTGCATTCTCCTTGCCCCCCCTGAATTTCCTCTTGCCCCCCCTTGCATTCTCCTCTTGCCCCAACCTCCCCCCCACATTTCCTTTTGCTTTTTCTCCAATTTTTCCTTCCCCATTTCTCTCACTTTTTTGTTTTGTTTTTTTTTTTTTGTTTTTACCAAAACTGTTTTTTTCTTCTGCTTTTGCTACTGATGTCTGCATTTTTTCCTGCTTATTTTGCTCTTTTTACTACTACTACTGCTGCTGTTTCTGTTCCTGTTCTTGTTCTACTTTTGCTAATCCCACTGCTGCTGCACCTTCTTTTGCTGCTGTCACTTGAGCTGTGTGTTGGTTTTTTGTTTTTTTTTCTGCTTCTACTACTCTTTCTGGTTTTTGTTACTGCTCCTGCTGCTAGTACTTTTTCTGGTTTTTTCTTTTTTTTTTTTTTTTCATTTTTGTTACCGCTGCTGCTTTTTTTCTTCTTTTACTATACCGCTGCTTGCTGCTTTTCTTCTTTTTTGTTACCATAACTGCTGTTTCACTTTTTGTTGCCGCTACTGCTGCTGGTACTTTTACTAAACGCAACTGCTGCTGGTACTTTTGTTGCCGCTACTAGACGCACTTTATTTTTGCCATTTCTGCTGCTGGTACTTTTGTTAACACTTTCAAATAAAAGAAAAAAATTTCGAAGTTAGAAGATTGAAATTATTTTTTTTACCGATCTGCTGCTGGTAAAAGTTTGTTACGCTAACTGCTGCTGGTACTTTTGTTACTTAGGATAGCTGCGGTAATTTTAAAATCATTTTGGGCTGCTGGTGACTTTGTTACAAATGGTCGCTGCTGCTGGTACTTTTGGATGACCGCTACTGCTGCTGGAGTAAAGGCCTTTTTTTTGTCGCTTTAGCTGGTACTTTTGTTACCGCTAACTTTGCTGGTACTTTTGTTTACAGCCACCGCTGCTGGTACTTTGTTACCGCTACTGCTGCTGGTAAGAACTTGGAGAAAAAGGAACTGCACTGCAAAACAACTAAACATTACTGCTGCTGGTACTTTCTGAAAAGAATATATGGATGTTGCTGGTACTTTTGTTAAAATACTAAATTTGGTCCTTTTAAAACCGCTATGTTTGCTGGTACTTTGTCCATCTTGTTGTTGCTGGTAAATTTTTTAATCCGCTACTGCTAGCTGGTCTTTTGTTAAAATAAATGATGCTGGTACTTTTGTTCTGATAACCACTGCTGGTACTTTAGTAGATTACCGCTACTGCTGCTGGTACTTTGTTACCGCTACTGCTGTTCTACTTTTGTTACGGGTCTGTTGCTGGAGTTTTTGTTAAGACGCTACTGCTGAACTGGTCTTTTGTTAATAATACTGTTGCTGGTATTTTGTTATTAAGCTGCTGTTGGTAATATTTGTTACCAGGACTGCTGCATGGTACTTTTGTTACCTTCATTTTGAAGGTACTTTTGTTACCGCTTCCAAATGCTGGTACTTTTGTTAACTAAGATCTCTGCTGCTGGTACTTTTGTTACCGCTACTGCTGCTGGTACTTTTGTTACCGCTACTGCTGCTGGTACTTTTGTTACCGCTACTGCTGCTGGTACTTTTGTTACCGCTACTGCTGCTGGTACTTTTGTTACCGCTACTGCTGCTGGTACTTTTTCTTCTACTGCTGCTGGTACTTTTTCTTCTACTGCTGCTGGTACTTTTTCTTCTACTGCTGCTGGTACTTCTTAATATTATTGATGATGCAGTGTCAACTGGAATTATTAAGAAACTTTAAAAATTCTAAAAATATTATGTTTAGTTTTACTGCTAGAAACAATTGTTGCTAATGAATTGCTTAACAATTTCCAGTAGTTGAATTTCTAGTCATGTAATGATTTTATCTGTAAAACAAATTCAAACAAGGCCATTAATTTTGTTAACAATTTTGTTACTTTGGAAATTAGACATTTTTGCTAAATGTTGTGCATGAAATTCTGACACTTAATCATATATCAGTACAATTCTCTTGCCTTGAAAATGCTTTTATTTGCTTACAAGACCTCAAAAAAATACTTTCCTTTTTATTTGTAGACTTAACCGGACTTTCATTACAACACACTGGTATGTGCTAATGATTTTTACTCTTCTTTCTTTCATTTTGTCTGTGTATTAAACCCACATGTCAATCTTTTTAGTCAGTTTCCATGTTAAATAACTTTGATCTTCATTAGGAATTAACAGCAACTCCTAACCACCTGAAAGTGAATCATCTTTATTAGGCTATAGCACCTTTAATTATATTGACTTTGCTAACTGTTTCAGGGAAGTTTAATCTATAACACAAAATTAAAAACTTCTAAGTACTGGCTTTGGTATTTCCTGTCAAAGAAGAAGAATTTTTTTTTTTTTTAGGAGGAAAGAGACAATAATTAAGAATTTTGATTTCAGTGATAGATTCTATAACCTTATTAACTAGAAAGTCTCAGAAAATAGTGTGGACAGCAGGGTCACTGTTAATTTCATGCCTCAGTGCAATCTTCAGACCAAGTTTCATTACCTTTTTTTTTTTTTTTTTTTTTAGTGTGCTCTCTGTATCACAGGTGACAAAGTGAAATGTAAAAGTGAAGAAAGGAATCGGTCCTTCCCACTTTTTCTAGGGTTAATGATTAAGATTATTTATGGTTATGGTCACCCTTTGAGATTTCTTAGTTTACTTATATAAATGATTAAAATAGTAAATAAATATTTGATGCATTTTAAAAAATTTTTAAATTGATGTCAAAAATGAATATTCCTATATTAATTAATTGTAATATATCTACTATTAATGTTTTATTTCTTAATTTCTTATATACTTAAAACAAAAAAAATGGACTTAATTAAGAGTCAAGCTATGATAGTTGAAAATACAAGAAAAAAAAACAACAACAACAGCAACAAATAAGCTAACTGGTTATCACTCCTCACTTATCATCCTCTGCTTAGGATATAAGCTATATGAAAATCAAAGATCTTCTCTAAAAAAAAAAATAAAAATAATTAGACATGATTATTGTTTATTAATGATTACAAGATTAAATTAGTTACAGAAAATAATTACTGCCCTTAACAATTAGCAAATATTCAGTACAAATATTTAAACCAAAGTAAATTTAATAATAATCTGCTTTTTATTTAAAACATTCTTTTCCATGATTTTTCTCTAACAAAGTTATCAATTATTTCCTTGAAAAGAGTGCAGCATCACTTGTCCCTTTCAGTACACAGAAGACTAAGTGCAGCCAGTCATCTTGCAAGATGTTGGTTTGGAATTTTTTTTTTTTTTTTTTAAATTCTTTTTAGTGGTGAAAAATGATCCCGAGCAATTTGTAACCATCAATCATAGGAATAATTGTAAAATGTCTTCTATGTTTATAAGAGCTTGATGAATTTTATCTCTAGATTGTTTGATATAGAAACTTGTGCCTAACATGTTCATCTTCTGGATAATTTTTGCTTCACATAAACAAGAAAATGTTTCAATTTACCTAACCAGTTTATATGGACATTAAGATATTCTTGAATAATTGCCATTACTGCATTGCATAGTTGTGCCTTTGAAAAATGTAAATCAACTAGAAATGGCAATTTCTCTGCAACATAATTATATATGATTTCTCTTTTATTCATGTAAAGTGCACCCACAACAGGAATAAAAGATTTTAGTCTAAATTTATCTCTTGGAGATAAGTTCTTCATCTGCATTTGAATCAATTTGTTTCTTTTTGAAAGAAAGTCTTTAAAACTTAATGTACCATACTGTTGTCATTATTGGGATAATTATTATTTTTTATGTTAATTTCAATGATAAAGAAATATATATATATATATATATATATATATATATATATATATTTTTGATGATTTAGTGTTAAATAAAAAAAAAATATTTGAAAAAATGAGGCCACCAAAGGTTTGTGGCTCTAAGCTACAGCTTACAGGTAAGTCTGTCACTGCTCATCAGAGCTTGATTAAAAAATTAAAATCGTGTACACTGAGTAAAAAAGAATGTAGAGGCACATGCACTATATATATATATATATATATATATATATATATATATATATATGCCAGCATAATGGCACACCATTATACAAATTATCTGTGCGATCCTTTCTAATAGATGACAGAACAGGTTAAAGTAATTTAAAGTTTTGTTGATCAACCTATGTAGCCAACTTCATACTAATACTTAAATTCATATATTACAAAACCCATTTTAAAAATAGGTAAGACATATTTTTGGATTAATTTCAATATAGGCTGAGAAGATATGCATGAATTGGTCAAAACACTAGTAGATATTTGCTGAGTAAATCTTTTTTCCAGCTTCACCAATCTATAGCAATTTAAGATATACAAGATTTTTTTTTAGAGACAAAATGTTTTTAGCTTATAGAAATGTGTTATTTTAGCAATAATGAAAGATTGCATCATGTCCACAAGATAACCATTATCATAAAATATTTTAAAAGATTCTTATTTATTCATAGAACATATCAACAAGGTCTGATGGACCAAAGTTTTTTATAAAGATTAGTTTTATACTGTCTAGGACAGTGGTTCCCAAACTTTTCAGAATTAAAATTTACTCATGCCTCACCAAATTTTATGTGATAAAAATAAAACATACATGTTTAATGGGAGATAACTGCAGATTTAAAATCAGAACATTATCATTGATAACTCTCTCCTCCAATTTGCAGATCCTAGTTACTATATTTGTAATACTTGATATAAAATCAAAAAAATATCACAATGATAAAATTGGTCTTATTTTTGGCATATGAATTTTTTGAAACTACTTCTAAATCTTTAATGTTTTTTCAATCATTCTGCCACACCTGAGGCATGTTTCACCATTTGGGAACTAGTAAAATGAATCTCAAGTGCATAATCCAGTAAACTTTGGTTCTTAGTACACAGATGTAACAAAAAATTTTTGTATTTATACCAACATGTTGAAGAACAATTAGGCACTGTCATCTTCCTTTTCACAAGTGAAACCTTCATGGAATGCTGCCACCATCTCCAACTCCTTCTAAAACACACGGAATTATTATTATTCCTTGTGATTTTTGTTCAATAAGTTTTGGATTCAGGGGAAATGAAAAAAAAAAAAGAAAAATAGAGAGAATGAGTTCAGTATAGAAGGATCCAGCAATGGTTAAAGTCTTTTGAAATCAACTAAAAGCTAAATTAAGCATCTTGAAGAAAAACTTATTTGTGAGCATCAGACATGTTCCACAATCTTATACTGAAATGAGCCCTTGCTGTTGATTGTTGATGTCTTCGTCCTGACATCTGCAGTAGTTAAAATGATTGTTTAAAATATAACTTTCTGCAATCTCAACTGCTCTCTGTTTAGAAACCAAAATGGAAATCCTGGATTCCAGTTCAGTCACATGAATAATGTATGATATTTAATATTTCTTCCTCATCCTCCTTGAATAAATTTTTTTTTTTTTTTTCTTTCTTTTTTTTTAACAGAACCAGTGAAGCTTGTGTTTCCACGTCTCCATTGTTTTCAATTGTGTATTTACAGAATGGATGAATGCATTTGCTTTTTCAAGTGATTTGTTTCAAGAGAAATTGTTTGTTTGTCCTAAGAATTTCTTCTCCCCTCCCCCCTCAGTTATTCCTGCCAGTTATGTAACCCAGAGCTGAATTGGTTGGCATCTACTCTGAACTCTGCCTTTAGAATCGTTTTCTGAGCAAAGGCCCATTCTTAGTTTATCCATAAATTATGACTGTCAGTTTATTCATACAGCTGCTCATGTTGTTTATCCTCTCTTATATTTCATCATTGCTGGGTTTTTTCTTCCATGTGTGTTTCCCTATGTTTTGTCTTTTCAACATATTTTCATTTCAAAAATTGTTTTTCCTCTTTTTTTTCTATTTGACTCAGTCTCTAATCTCATTTTTTTCTTTTTACACGTTACTCTATCCAACCCCATTTGGTCATCTCTTGTCGCCCGTCTCCCCTCTTCGCTTCTCCGTTGTCGCCCGTCTCCCCTCTTTACCAATATTTTCAGTTGTCCTCTTCTAGTTACAGACGTATCATGCCAAGAATTACATCCTATTAATAAGTGTGCCCAAAATATATTGTCCAAAGAAACACATTTAACTAGCACAATATTGCTTACATCTGTCTAAATTATTATATAATTATTTTTCATGTTAATATGGGCTTGTTAGTATTCTGTTATCTTCATCAGTCATTCAACCATTTCTTTTAACTTTTCTGCTGTTTCAATTTTAACATTACTTGCAGCAGTTTTTTTTTTTTTTTGTCAGAAATCATTGAATATTGTTTTCCATTCTCATACAAATCTCTTATAATGTTCTATTAGAAGTCTTTTTTCTATTGGATTAGTATTGGAATTGGCTGTTGTCCATTCAATTAGTTTGTTTTTATAATTTCCAAAAACAATCTTCTGTTACTCAATAACTTTACAATATCTTGGTTTCTCATTGAGTTGTTACTTTCTTACAATCAGTGTCACTCTTTTTATCTATAAAATTACAAAATAAATACCATTAACTACACTACTATATATATATATATATATATATATAATGTATGTATGTAGCATATTTTCATTCAAACAGGTTTAGTTAAATAATTTAGACATACTATATCTGTTTATTTTTGTTTTAATCTTTTCAAGTCCGTGAATCAATTTTTTCTTGGTAGTCAGAGACAACTGATTAAGGAAATATCAGAATTTTCTTTCAAATAATTTTTATTTTCTCAAGTACTTCAAAAAAAAAAAAATATTGTGAATTTGCAATGGATATAAAACAATAAAAAATGCAGTAAAACTGTTTTGAATTTACAGAAATACGTATACACATACACAGACAATTTAACCCCCTGAATATGGTTGCAGATGAGACTGAAAGTACTTGAGAAAATAAAAATTGTTTCAAAGAAAATTTTGTTTTTTTTTTCTTAATCAATTTTCTACGGCTACCAAGAAATTGATTTGTGGACTCTAAAGAATTAAAACAAAAATAGATATAGTATGTTTAAGTTATTTAACCAAACCTGTTTGAAATATATATATATATATATATATATATATATATATATATATATATAGTGAATACCTCTCATGTTGCATAATAAAAGCCAAATAAGTTAGTATAAATATTTCAAATAAAACATATCACAAGCTGAAATTAACAGGTTATATCTATGATAGATATAAATATACCCTGAAAATTTTACTAATATTAGTTAGTTAATACCAATTTTATTGTGAAAACATCAAGTGGCATCATAAAATATGACATATTTGAAATATTATTTGTTATCTTGTAAACTTTTTAGTTTTAGGATTTATTGTATATTCCAGACATATTCATATCAAAGTAATTCAAGGTTTTGTATCTGTTTCACACAGTAAAATCAATTACAGACACAGTATTATCTGTGAAAAGACTGTCTTTACCATCAGTCTCCATCACAATCCACAGAGAAGGAAGGGAACTTTGCATTTGATTTAATTCTCTTATATCTAATGGTAATATTTACTCACACTTTGTAATATATTGTGCATAAATATTGGAAGGGGGGGAATAAGACTTTGTTTAGTATCACTTACCTCTCCTGCATGATCTCATATACAAAAATATATTTGTAAATGAAAGCTATAGTTTTAGATTTTAGAAGTCGGATGATTTAAAGCTTTTTTTTTCTTTTTGGTCACTTGGGTATAACTTAAATGTTCAGTAAAAATATCTAATCAATGTATTTGGAGGGAAATAAATGTTGCTTTTTATGTAAGTTTTTGTTTCTTAATTGGATGTTGTTTTGTCTATAAAAAGCACAACAGATAAATCTTATTTTACATCAATGGTTTTATATATATATATATATATATATATATATATATATATATATATATATATATATATGTGAGATATTATCTGATATATTATTGTTTGCTTTTAAATATTTTCACATGATTTTTTTCTCCACTATCTCTGTTTTTGTTTTTAATATTTTTTATTTTGTGGTTAAGAAAATCATACTTGGGTACTACTATTCAAAAATAAAAAAAATTAATGAGGAAAGAAAAAAAAAAACCAAAGTGATCAGAAATTTAATTTTTTTTTCTTTATAGAAATCATTGCTAAAATTGATGCTGGTTAGAAACTGAACTGTAGACGTGTTAACTGTAATGTTGACTTGACATGACGGTAGAGGAGTGAACTGTCATGTTGAAATGATATGAAGGTAGAGGAGTGAGACATGATGTTGACCTGATGTGCTAGGAGAGGAGTGAACAGTTATGTTGAAATGATACCGACAGTAGGGGAGTGAGCTATGATGTTGACATGATGCACTGGTTGAGGAGTGAGCCGTCATGTTGACGCCACGCTGGTTGGTTGGAGGACATGTGAGCCATGTTGACATGGCTGGTTGTTGAGGGGAGTGAGCGATCATGTTGACATGGCGTTGATACGACCATGGTGCGCGCTGGTTGAGGAGTGAGCCGTCATGTTGACATGGCACGCTGGCATGGGAGTGAGCCGTGATGTTGGCGTAGCATGCTGGCAGCATAGTGTGGCGTGATGCTGAAATGACACAATGGCAGCAGAGTGTGCTGCGATATTGACATGACGTGCCGGTAGATGTGCAAACTGCGATATTGACATGACGTGCCGGTAGATGTGCAAACTGCAATATTGACATGACGTGCCGGTAGATGTGCAAACTGTTAACTCAAATATGTTAAATTTGTTATTAACGCAAGTATGGTTAGGAAATACTCACACATAAAAATTTGAAGCATAATATTGTTATTAAGATATTTTTTTAAATACTTTTTAAAATACTTAGTGAATTTCTGGTATTTATTTATTAATGTTTATTGATTATTTATATTTACTTCCCCCTGTCCATGCCTGCCTTGAATGAATAGGTTTATTCATGCAAATTCAGACTTCAAACATTATTAAGGACCCCACCAGCCACCCACTGTTTTAGAAAGAATTTAAAAACATCACTATATTGATTGTTTTTTTTTGAATGTATTGGATTTGTTTTAAATGGTCACCCCTGTAACCTCCCAGTCAGTCCTTCCTTGAAGTAATTAATGTGATTTGGAGAAATTTTGTTGTGTTTTATACCATTTTTTCACTGGACTATAAAAATTGGTTATAAAGCTAAAACACACACAGACATTTTGATTGGATGATTGGTTTCTCCATAAGTATCTTCCTTAGCTTGATCCAGATTTTGTCTTTGCCTTTGCTATAACCACGCTGCTCCCTCCTTCTCTGGTATATATTCTTTCTTTCTTTCTGCCCCAATTGCTTCTACTCTCTGGTCACTTCAATCTCTCTTTTTCTTCAAATTAATCTGTAATGCATATTCATATGCCTTCTCCACTGTTTTTCTTTCATTCTATACATTTTCTGTTTACATTACAAAAACTCTACTCAATTACGAGATGTGTGATCCCCCCCCTCCTCTTTTGTTACTGTGGGTTTTTCTTATTTTTAATTGTAATGATCTAATAAAAGACACATCCTTCTGTTTAATTATTAGTGGTAACAAAAAGACAATCTTGCCTTACTCAAATACAGAATATGTTATCTTTTGGTATTGATCTGCTAGGAAAGCATCAAAATATCTTGTGATCATTAATTAGTATGGGTTTCTGTCAACATTAGTGATAAAAAATACCAGCTTTTGGCTGTTACTGCATGGGATTTTCTATCTTCTTCTTCAAGAACCATGGCATACCAGTGACAATACTTTAACAAGGGCATTAACTGCTTCAGGTGAAATTTGAACTTCATTAACTTTTTTCTTTCTTCTCTCTTTTTTCTTTCTTTTTACTAAAGTTCACCAAATAAAAAACCCAAGAGCCACTTGAGGTAGAGGGTTACTGAATGAAATGCATGATATGAAAGTAAGAGGAGGAAGTGAAGATTACAAGGATATGATGAATAGATAATGATTGCCTCTAGATTTGAAGAGGTTAATATTGTATTGTTCAGAGGTGCATTCACAAAATAACTTTCTTGGGAATAACTGTTTGGAGTGGAATTCTCTTCTTATCAAAGCATTATCTAGAGAACAGGGTTGATTCAACCCTGTAGATGTATCAAGTCTGAGATGGTGGCAATAAAGAATGGAGTTGGTGCATTTGCCATGCTCACAAGACCATGTAAACGTTTTTGAACTCTGTCAAGGCTGAAACATGTTGATGAGGCAGCTTCAATTCAGTAACAAATATTAAACAGGTTGCGAGGATCTAATAATGTGTGAATATAGCTTTATTTTTCAATTGTTTTGATTCAAAAGTTGGGGTAAATACTTAAGTATTTATTATTTTAATATTGTAGAAACCTAATTGCATTATTAATCTTTTGGAGGCAAAATATTCCTAACACCCTTAATTTATTTTTCTTTATTTTAATTTTCTTTATTTTAATTGAGTATCAAACACTTGACAGCCAGCAAATGATTATACCAATAGAAATGTAATTTCACTTTGACAAATATGAGCTAGTGATCTTCTTTTACAGTGATCTTCTTCTTTGTAGAATTTAGAAAGGTTAGAATGTTGCTTGGAAAGAGAATAAGAGTTCAATCTAAAAATGTTCTTATTTCAAATTAACTAACCAGGGTACAGTAGCAGGACTAACACAAAATTTGTTTTCATGGTTAAAACCAATCATGTGACCTGATTATGTACTCTGTCTTCGTTTGACCATGTGTACCACCATGACATTATCTGCTATTAAATATATTAAATTATGTGTGGTGTTATTCATACTAGCATTAAAGAAAAAATTATTCATTTTAAAGCTTATTTTCTATTATAATTATTTATCAAACTGTATACATTTATGTAAAAAAAAAAAAAAAAAACAATTTTTTTTTTTTTTATTGTCCAGCACCCAGTCGACTGGTAAAAGATGAATATGGTCATGATGGTCAACTCAATGGAAGTGGGGCTGGTGAAGGCTCTCAAACGGTGCAACATCCACCTCAAGATAATTTTGGTCTCATGCCAGGTTTGTTTTACCTATTCTCTTTGATTTACCTTTTAACAACCCTCTCCCTGTGCCAATCATTTAAAAAAATCTTTTTTGTGATATCTGCTAGATTGGTTATTTCTCCTTAGCTTCAAAAAATCAGCATGCCCCGTTGTTACTATTCTCATTTTTGATGGTTGTCCTGCTTAATGTTATCAATGTTGTTTTTATTGAATGTTTACCAAGACAAGCTTCTCTGTCATGTCCATTTGTGGTGCATTTGTTTATAAATCCTCACTATCTTGGACAGAACCACCTTCCAAGACACAAGCTGCAGCTTTGAGAATTGACTCTGAACAAATGTTCTCTTAGGAATAATTGTCAAGTCTCATGTACTGCATCATATGAAGACATCATTCACCATTGTACCTGCCCAAAAGAAATCTAACCTCTCAGAAACTGGGTAGCTTACAGCTCTTGTTTTTCTGGTTATACACTTAGTTTTCTTTTTGTTTTTCCTTAGCAATAAATATATTTCCAGCCCATCTAAAAATGAACAAAAAACATACAAATGGCAATTTCAATTTCAAATGTAAAATTTGATCAAATATTCTTTATTCTGTACCTTTTCTGTATTGTTTTCAATCTTACATAGGAAAACTAATCGAAATAATAATAAACTGATCGAAATAACAATAAACCGATCAAAATATTAATAAAATAATGACAATACTTAATTTTCTAAACTTACAGACAACAGGTAGATGAATCATTAAGAAAGCACTTTTGGTAAACACTTGTAACAAAGGCAAAATATCTGAATCGATTTAATCTATTAAAAAGGTCATTTTATATTGCATTAACTGAAATGGTATTAACATGAATTGAACTGAAAAAGTTAATGTCTTTGTATGATGGGAGCATTTACTTAGTGATAAATATTGAACTAAAGGTTTTTATTGTTTTTTTTTTATATTAGTCTAGAAAGATGTGTAAATATAGGGAAATCTTTCTTTTCCAGTGGATTCATACAAGCATTTGAAATTTGATTTAGGACACCACAAATAATTAAGTCTTAATTGAAAATAGCTGTTTCACCTTTGCTGTCTCATTCCCTAATAATAAGTGAATTGCTTTCATGTACTTGTAAATTCTGTAATACCTGATTATCTTATTTGACCGTAGAACTAAAAATCTGAAATTGGCTGAACACTGAAAATCTCTTCTGGTTCAACCTAATATAATTTATTTGCTATTGTTCCAAGAAAATAAAAAGTAAAATAATTTAAAGTTTAATTGCTCTAAACGTTTTTCTTAAATTAGTTTTCTTCTTGTTTTCACATTACATCTCTTGGGTGATCCAATCATATCCGTAATTGGATATAATAGGAAATTTGCTCTCTCAGCCGTTTATAAATATGGAGGTGGAAGTGTCAATTATGTATTAATTCTTGGCTAATATCTCATTAAAGACCTACAAGCCAAAAATTAATAATAATTAATTTTTCATATAAGAGATTCACATAATACTACAATAAATAATACTAATAGCTAACATGAAATGATACCAATGTTGTTTGTGTAACATCAGCTTGATTCTTTGAGTTAAGCAATATTCAGCCTGGACCAATACCCAATAAGTAATCATTAGAAGATTGCAGGCATAAAGATTAAAAAAAAATAATACCTAGAATTTCATGCACAGTAAAAAAAAAAAAAAAAAAAAAAAAAATCTTCATTTTCAGAATTATGTTAGTTTTTTATACTATTTCTCACTCAATGCAAGGCCCAAGAGCTCCTGAAGGTAGAGAGTTACTAAAAGAGGTTGAATTAAAGGTGTACAGTGGTGGGGAGCAAGAGGTACTAATTATGAGGATATGTAGGATAGATAACAGTTGAAGTGAGATTTGAAGAGTTTAAGATTGTAGTGATTGGGGAAGCATACTCTCATTCCACAATGCTGCAGTTCTATCTATCTGTGTGTGTGTGTGTTTAATCCCCGATACGAAATAGTAGTCATTAGTGGTTTAAGCTTAGGCACATCTTTGTACATGTTCTCCTACAGATACCCACTCCAGTTTATGCATTTATAAACTCTGTTTTCGCATGAATCCTATTACGTATTTACAATTGTTTCGATGATTATTTTCTTATTTTATTTCTTATCTATCTGCAAAGTACAAGAATATTTCATTCTATGCTCCTGTTTTTAAAAAAATCAAATCGTCCTTCATCCTATTTTGTTGTTAGTGCAATGACACCTTTAAAAAAAATATTTTCATTAAATTTCACAAATAGCTTGTTGCTGCTCAAACAAAAATGTCAGTTGCACATTGAAAATTTAATTTCAAAACATCAGATGAAAGTGAGTTATCTATTCACTGATGCAGCTTTACTTATGATCAGTCATTTGCCCAGCTTAGCACATTCTCTGACACTTGTATGGTGCACTCAGTGAGGATCAAATTCACCATTGTCGTAATAATCTGAGAGACTTGCTGGTTAAGGAGTCCCACCTGTAGTCAGTATCTCTTTTGATAAGTCAGTTGGTACTTCTTTCATGATGTTCTTGAGGCCAACTCATGGTTCAGCCGACGGCCAGAACTAGAGGTTTATTTCAAATTTTGTCATTCCACCGGGAGTGACAAGTTTTAGTTTGGGTTTGTGGTTGTTCATTGCTGTAGTTGGCTTAAGAAATTCAAAGAAAAAATAAATAATGATAAAGAGCATAATTAATTTGCCTAAAAAAAAAAAATCAATTCTCTTTGTCTTGTTAGTTTTTTTTTTTTTTTTTTTGCTGTGGTTTTATTAGAATTAATATAGAATTTGCTGGAGCTTTGGATTCATCACTTTTTACCCTGTTAACAATGAAATGTTATGCATTTTAATCTTTGAATAAATTATCTATATTAAAACAGATTTTTTTTTTTTTTTTTTTTTTTGTGATTTTACACAAGAAATGTTTGTATTTGCAAAAAGCATAAAAAATAATATAGCATGTCTGAAGAAAATAGAATAAATAAATCTTACATTTGCTTCAATTAAATAAGTTATTCCAAATGTAAAAAGCACAAAGTTAACTACCACAAACAAAAACTAAAATGTCTTGATCATTGTAGAATGACTAGATTTGAAATAGGCCTCCAATTCTGCCCCCTGAGTTGCAGTATGTGTTGGCCTGAAGTAGTGAATGCCACGTGTAAGATTTATTAAGCATAATCTGATTAAAAAGGAACTGGAGGAGCATGTCAGAAATCAATCTTATTGAAGAGCCATAATTCTTTGAGCCTCTACAAATCACTGCAGGAAAACACCATCACAGAGCATCAATATATGCAATGATAACAGTTACCAACTTTCCGACTTTTCCAACTGATGGCACTATTTACAGATCGATTCATAATGAACTGCATTTAGATATGAAGGATAATCTAGCTTGGCACAAGACTGCAGAAATGATGTATCCATTGAGAAATGGCCTGTAAGATTAGCTTGTTAGCATTCATGGCATCACAAGTGCCTTCAGTTAATTAGTTAAGTGCCACATGTGATACACACTTGGGCAATCATATCTTTTTGATTCATGACTGACTAGGCAGATGATTTTCCTGCAGTAGGTTGCTGTTTCTTTCAGCAGTAGACTGGTTGTTAACCAAGGCTATAGAGCCCAGTCTATCCTGCTATTCAACCCTTAGCTGTGAGGAGAAGATAGATTCATACCTTTCCCAAGGGTATTTTAACATAAGTGAATGTAATGAACTTGACTGGAATTCAATCTTGGCTTTACAATTTCTCATGCCAAGCCGTTAGCCTGCCTTAAGTGCCTTACTGAATCATTCTATTTGTGCCCCCATATTTTTTTATATACGTTAAAGATATTTCTTAGTTACCTTAAAAAATAATGTTACAAATTTTTTAAAAACTTGTGTTTATTTATTTGCAATATGCTAACAGTTGAATTAACGTTTAAACTTAAAAAAAAATTTGCTCAAGATGTTGGATTATTTTTTTCTCTTTGCTCTTCAAATTTTCAAACTCTTATCTATTCTGCTATATATATATATATATATATATATATATATATATAATCTTGTTTACTGCATGTTTTTTGTTGTTGTTTTTGTTGTTGTTTACTTATGTATCTTCATCGTTCACCATTCTCATCAAATGGTTAATAAACTTCCTTTTAATGAGAAGAAGAAGAAAAGGGCAGTTATTTCTTTCTTCTTCTTTTTTTCCCTCTAAATGTTGTGTTTTGTCATGTTTAGGAATACAGCCACAAGCCCCTAAGTTCAGAGCAGGGAATTCTGGTAAGTATTCACGTTCTTACTGCTGCTATCTACTTGCTTATCTTCTACATACATACACACACTTTCATTTTTACAGTGTTTTCTTTATGCACACACAAACATACATTAATACCCTTGTACCTATTCAGTTTATATATAAATAACTAATTATGAATAAAAATAAACAAAATAATTAAAAAAAAAAAAACATTTTAAAAATTTTGTCTGAATTATTTTCCACTTTGTTTCTTTTGAAATTTTTGATGAAGCATTTTCACTTTTTGCTACCTTTACACCAGTGACATGATGACAACAAGTAAGATTATAAGTAACTCTAAAATAAAGTGAAAAAGCTTCATCTAAAAGCAACAATAATAAGTTGGTGTAAAACTAGAAATAAAATTATAATAAAAGTCTTGGCCAATATTCAAAACTACAATTGATTTTAATCAAAGCTTGCTTAGTTAAGGTGGTGAGCTTGTTTGGATGGATGGGGGAGGAGGCTGTATTTTTTTTGTCTTGAAATTTCAATAAAGTTCGGTGTTGTATGACAGGATAGTCTATAATCTGTAAATTGTAGAAAGCCATGCAGTTTGGTCACTTTGTGTCTTTGTCCAACATTGGATTTATTTATTTTAAAGCAATATGGTTTCTGGTGAGTAAAAGTTATTTATTCTGTTACTGTTTTGCAAGATGTGAACCTTTTTTGGGTGTTCTCTTTTAATTCTTCAGAAAGATCAAAAGATTAAAGAACAAACATGAAATCTACTTAGGTTCTCTGGCAGTTTTCTCTGTTACTGCCTTCCTTTTTATTTAATTTTGTTCTTTAATTATTATTTGTTATTGGATGAGTTTTGTAGGAATTAACTTGATCTTTGGTTTTAAAAACTTCAGTAGTCATAAGGAATTATGCTACTTGTTTCAAGTGGTGATATTTTCTTGAGATTATTTAATTCAATGTGGCTATAAAACTTGTTTTTTTTTTTTGTTTGTTTTTTTGGTCACAATAGGGTCTTTCATTATCTGTTTATTGTTGTTTCTCTCTCTTTTTTTATTTAAAAAATGTAAATTTTGGAGAAACTCTTGAATTATAGCTGAGATTTTTACCCGAGTTTCAAAGTTTCATCAAATATTTTTAGTATTTTAATTTTTGGTGATATTGATTTTTTTTTTTTTTTTTTTTTTTTTTTTCCCCCAAAATTTCATTATAATTTCAGTAGTTCATTCATTAAAATATACAAGGTAAAATATATTCAAAATCAGAAGACATACACACATAATTATATTACTTGTTTTGTATGGATATCCATTAAACATCTTTATTCTGTAAATAAAAACCCATATTTTTTTCTTGTTATTTTTTGATTTTGGTTTTTCATCAGGAGTCATGCTAATGAATAAATTTGAACCACTGGTATTCAGTCCCTATCCAGTCATCCTCATTTTTTTTTCTTTTTACTTTTTATTATTCACCCAATACAAGCCTTTTATTTAAAACTGGTTTCTTCATTAAAATGAATCTCTTCAGTCCATGATCTTGACGGATACAATTTGTGTTATCTTCTAACACCAAACTGAACAGGTCACATTTATCAGTTTTCTTTCACTGAGATTTTTTTTTACCCTGATCAATCTCCATATTATCCTATGCTCCAGCTTGCAAAGGCTACCATATTTTGGTTGATTCAAAACACTTTCAGTGCTTTAAGACCTCAAGAGGATTTCTGAGATGCCATTTCTTGACATTCCAGGTTCCTTAGCAATTGCTTGTTTCTTCATATTCTTGGGCATCTTCCCTATCTTTATCCTGGTTTCTTTGGAAATCTTTGCCATGATTTCAAGTAATGAAAGAATACAGGAATTTAATGTCTGAATTTACCCTATATGCAGGCAAAAAATGGTCCTATTATGAAAATATATTTGCTTTTTAGTGGTGAAACAGAAAAGAGAAAGCAAAAATGGTCAGGTGACGAAATAATTTTACATGATTATTTTTGGGTGTTGTCTCACATATTCTCACCTCATTCAGAAACCTTGCTAAAAGTCATTTTCACACTTTATATATATATATATATATATATATATATATAATTAAGTGTGAAAATGACTCCAACATTGCAAAGTTTCATCTGTAGACGATGCAATAATATATATATATATATATATATATATATATATATATATATATATATATAAATGATTTAAAAGAATAGTACCTATGCTATTTCAATTTCACTTTTTTAATGAAGCATTGTCAGGTTTTTACATTTTATATTAAAAAATCTAGGTGAAATAGAAACAAGAAACTTTTTGAGAAAAAACTTCTACACTTATTAACTTAGTAATAGAATCCTTTTTTTGATGTTTTAATAATGTCAACTGAGCTAAACTAATTTTTTTTTAACACAGATTATTTTATAAATAACTAAGTTGCATAAATGTTTCTAGTACACATTCCTCTTTGGTAGCTTGACTTCACAAATTTAAGAACAGTACTAGATTGGCAGTTAGGTTTCATAGTTTTAAAGTTGAAATTGCTAGTTGTAACCATAAGTTTTATGTTAATAGCTTCTTTTCTCACACTTATCGCTTTCCTGTCAACTATGCTTTTCAAAAATTTAAATGCAATGTCAATTGTTGTTGTTTTTTCCCTTGAATCCAATTATTTTCCCCTCTCCTTAATGTTTTTCTCAGTTTCTTTCACTCTCAATAACCTCTGGCTTTATGACCTTCCTTGGGGTGAATTGATTAAAGAATTAAAAAAAAAAAAAAAAGTAAAGTGAAAGAAAACTAAATCTTTAACAGTGGTTTCCTCTACTAATGTTGTTGATGATCAAATAAAATTAATTTTAAAGAATTTTAGAAAAAGAAATGAAACAAAGAACATTATCTTTTGATCTATTCTATTGTAACCAAATACATCTTAACTATGAACAAGATATAAAAAAAAAAAATAAGTCATTAAAAATGTAATTCCTAGATACATATCCTTTAATGGTTGGAATAAATATCTACAATTTATCATTTATTAGTAAAAAAAAAAAAAAATGTCTCACTTTAATCATAACAGATAACACAGAATGTCAAAAATCACTTACATCAAATCAATGTTTATGAATCTTTGTGCCCTTTGGGAGATTGTATTACTAATGCTAATAATCATGAAATATTGATCAGTAAATCACATAAGACTGCAATAGGATTATTAATATTAGATAACTAGTAGGAGATAATACCAAAATACAATATAAAAGTAATTGTAAAGAAAAAATAAAATTACTTGTATGATGTGGGCTGCTATTTCTAATAAAAAATGCAGCCCACATTAAACACCGTATTCTTTACTATATTGGTAGGTTTTTTAAAATATATAAAAAAATATAGTTTGCTGCAAAACTTTGGTACTGACAAGTGCTGTGATTCTTATTGACTTTTAAAGATTTTTTTTAAAATGTGTACATCACTTAGAAAATGTTCTACACATGAGATCAATTGTATTTGATACATTTAAATTAGAATTATAACATTTCTAAAAGAGTGTCTATTTGAAATTGTTCCTTAGTGTTCACTGATAATGTAGACACTAGTGGGGGTTGAGAGTATTTAAAAACAAAAAGATGACTAACTTTGGACAGTTTCTTCATAAATTCAATCTGGATGTATGACAGTTCAAACTGGAAAAGTGTAGTAAAAAAAAAAAATCTTTAGAAAGCAAGCAACCCTTGTTGATTGATAATAAAAAATATGGCTGAATGAATTCTTGTCGCTTTCACACACACACACACACACACGTAGAAGAGGAAGGCTTGAACATTGTGTTCAAGCATGAAACACTGTGTTGACCTTAGTGTCCACTTCTATATGTATATTTACATGCTCTATCTGTGACATCTGTCTATATTTCTGAGATGATGTGTTGTAACTATTTACACCATTTACTTTGTTCAGACTGTTGGCTTCATCTTTATTGTCATTTTCACAAAATTTTGGCCATTGTACACTCCAGCCTTCTTCCATGGGAGTAGATTGTTCTAGTGCCATGTCTTTTCTGGATATCAATGTAGAAAATGGCTGGAGCATACGATGACCAAAATGTTGTGAATATGACAATAAAGATGGACAACAGTTCAAACAATGTAAAAAGTCTATCCCTGATATTGGCCTATAAATATAGCATACCTTAAAACTATTTTTGTGTGTATGCATGCATGCATGCATATATATATATATATATATATGTGTGTGTGTGTTAACAATTTGTTTTATATATATATATATATATAATATATATAATATGACAAGTTTTTCTGAAGTATTTCATCTGTTAGGATGTCATACTATTTTTATAAGTACTGTTTGTTGATATATAAAATTATACATCGTGCTATATAGTTATGTCTGAATTTTTCCATACACACACACATACATTATATATATATATTGTTATATTTTATAAACTGTTATATGGAACATGCAAGTTACTATTAAAATCTATTTTAAATTAAAAACTATTATCAAACAACCTCATGAGTAAAATAATTATAAGCCCATTCATGGCTAACCTTACTACCAGTAACTTATGAATACTAACCTATTTAATATCTTAATCAAGAATAAACCACTACAGATAACATTAAAATGTTTATATAAAGGTAATATAGCATAAGAGGAGTGATTATTGAATTATAAAGTTTAGTAAGATTGTAAGGTTAATTCCTTAATATGCCTGCAATTCACCATAGTTTCATGTCTCTGATTTAATAATTGATCACTATTCAAGAGTTTAATTATCTCAATTTTCTCCTGTAGACAAAGGAAACCCAGTTCAGTCATGGATCTACAGATTCTGACTTGTTTAAGAATTTTCCATTTAACATTAGGTGTTTTGTTTTTTGTCTTTCGTCTTTCAATTTCCAAAAATGTTTATAAAGTGAAGTCATATTTCATTTGTTAGTAAAAGATGAAAGATGACTACAAACCTTTTTTAAAGGCATTCATTGTGCTCCCAATATATATTTTAACAATCTTGAGATTTTCAATTGATGAAATAGAGCACATATACACAAGGAATTTCATTAAGCACTTGTTAGATAAAGGACATTGGTCAGAATTTCTACAATTACATAGATTAGTTATACGAAACAAAATAGAATCAGTACTAACATTACAGTCATTATTGCTATATAATTTCAATGTGATTTTATTATTTTCTCCAGATTATTAGTACAACTATAGCTAATAATCTAGAGAAAATAATTAATTGTTTCAAATTTATTATACAAGTCAGATAAATGTTTCAAATTTATTATATAAAAATCATATAAATGTTTAAAATTTAATTTGTATTCTACTTTACAATGTAAGGTTGGTATAGTTCAGTAGTTTTGTTTGTATATGGTTTTTTTCTTAAAGTGTCTTTTATTTACATACTATGTTTAATTTTGTTTGAATAAGTAATTTCATTCAAAATGTCATAAAGTTTGAATTGATATATTGTATCTGTAATGTGTTTCCTATCTTGTTGCGTTATATTTCCGATCAATTTTGAATTTTCCATCTTAACGTCTCTATTTGCTAAATCTGGTATCAACAACTTCTCATGTCTTATTTTCTTCTGTTTCTTTTTTATTTGTATCTGTAAAATTTGGATATACTCCTCTCCTTCTTTTCTTTCCCTTCTCTTAGTAGGGTTGATTTCTCATACTTTCTTATGCATTTCCTTTTTTTGTTCTTTTCTTTTTCTTTCTATTGATTTCATATTTTCTTTCCTTCTTTTTACTTTAATTTGCTTATTTCTTTCTTTTCCTTTTATTGAATGAATAATTTTTTTTATATATTTGTTTCTTTGCCTTCTATATAAAATTTTCAAAAATGTAAAAAGAAGTGATGTTTAATAAATTGTATTTTTAGATAAAATTGTTTATTACCACCATTATTAACCACCTGACGAGACATCTTTAGATGTCAAAACAAATATGCATTTTTGTCAAAGTAACTTGCATGTTCCAATGTAACAGTTTATAATAAATATTTATTGCTCTACTTTTGTATTGAGCCCTTTTTTAAATTAATGTTAGGAACATTTGAATTTATATTCTTTTTGTTCTTTTACATTTGGAGATATATACACATACTCATACATTATGAGGGTGAATCACTAACATTGTAGCTTGACTTAAAAAATTTTCACATTATAATGTTTGTTCTACATATACTAGTAAATTAAGTACATTCCAGTGAATTAAGTGCATTGACAAGGGAAGAGATGGCCCTCCACCCACATTCAAATACATACTCCTATTTTTGTGGGCACATACATACATGCTATCAAATCCTATTAAATTGATCTCTGAAGATAAGAATCTGAAAACATTTCTACTTTGTCTTGCCTTTATTTTTGTAGCAGATGATAAGCAACAGACTAGTTTAGTCAATAAACTCCTTATTTCTTTCCCATTACCCTCCCCACAACTTTTTTCTTTTAATAAATGA